AATATAGATTTGTGGAAGATTTAACGTAGATAAGTTCAGTTTTCCATCATAAAAATCTAGACATACTTTTGATCATTATCAAAATGAATCAAATATGAAGCCCGTAGAAATTGCGTAACTACTTTGCACGATAATCACAATAAAATTTGCTGCGCAAGTAATTCAATAGCCCTATATCACAGTGTAGAAGTTATCATATACCTGTGGATGAAATTCACAATGGCCGATATGTAAGTAAACAAGATGACTGTAATGTGTTAGTTATATATTCTTCACTTCGTCTATACAATACATAAGAAATAGTTTGGTTGCAATAAAGTAGAATCACGTAAGAGAATAGTTGCATAGTTGACAAAAACTGAATCTTGCACTGACGCAAATGTCGTATAGCGGCTGCAAGAGGCTTACACTTTTGTTGTATAACTGTTACCTGCAGCCCTTATACAACCTCTTAAATGACTGAAGTGTCCTATTAGGTGTGCCCATTCCGGTTGTATAGCTGCTCTAAGAGGGTTTTGCCAATGTTCTTACAGTATACAATGCTGTGTAAGGAATACTGTATAATCATTCTTGCAACTCTAATAGGAGTGATAATTGTTAGTTGGGTAGGACCTCATGAAAGACGTTCGAGGAAAGTTGCGTCTGGAAGAGCAGAATGGGCCACTCCACATAATTCGATAGTATAGTTTAGTTAGGTATTGAGTTATAATTTATGATAACTAGTTAGTGTTTGAATGAATTTTTTGATCCAAATTAAAAATCCGATAAATATGTTGTCCCGGACTTTTAGGACATACGTTAGTTAGGCTGGCGGTCATGTCTAAAGGTATAAACAGACAAAGATGTAAATCGTTGATAAGCCTTTCACGTCAAGAGACATCAAAACGAGACGAAGTACCATGAAAATAGGTTAACTTTATATCAAAGCTGTCTTTTTCGCATCTGACTAGTTAGACCTAAAACCACACTTCCGCCGCCTAGCGGGAGCAGAAATAAACATCGCTGCCAAGTATAAGTAACACAAGAAATTCATCAAGTATTCAAGAACTTACGTTAATAATTCCAAAATCGATACACTTACCACTGTACCCAGGATCAAACAAGAATAGAGTATCAAAGTAAAATTGTAGCGTGTCATTAGATCATCTGATATTTTGATGTTCTCATGTTTGTAAAGCGAAATGTTTTCTTCCAAATTTACCCTAGAAACATAGTAATAGTTATCAGATATCCTTATAGGCCGGCGATAGGATGGAACTGCTCTGAGCTTAAAAAACTGGCGTGAAGTTGATTAATTCTGCACTTTCCATGGAACAATGTCATCAGTTCATAGAATATTATATTCGATGCTTGTATAAGACATAAATTGAATACGTCGAGACAAATAGATTCATACAATCAAGCCGCACTTCTCAACCCATTTGACAAAGTTGCGATCTAGCTGATCGCAATTGCGAGAGGTAAACCGGCCATCTTAACGGCTATCGTGTTACAAGTTTATCTTCTATTTTCGTTGGACATGGATATGGAACCTATTTTGGTTCTTAAACCTTAAGTGCAAATATACGAGGAAATGTCTGGATGGCATGTGTCTAATGGCTATCCTATGATTACCGGGGTTGAAAGCGAATAAATATATTAACGCCAATAATTGAGACATACTTTCCTATATTACTTTCAAACTCCCACCCTCAAAGCGGTTTTAAAAAATGTGTAGGAGCCAAAAAACAAAGTATGGGTGATTTTATATTTTTCGTCTTTTTGTCCGAAGGGTAAGCTGATGCCAATATTTCATCAAAATCCGAGCAGTACTTTCCAAGACAGGATTAGCGGACAGATCGGCGGAAATGAGTGCCATGGTTTTTCGTGATCACCATGAATCGTCCATAAAACATAATATGACATTTTCGAAATGTTTCCTCGGCCCCAAGCAAAAACGTTAAATTCAGATCAATAAATATTATTAAAAGAAATAAAACAACTCATAATGTAACAGATGCCCATAATCCTGACAGTTGACTTGTTGAACTTTGATGTACTGGGATGAATTTCATAAATAAGATAGTTCCATTGTTTATTTTTTTTCAATTCCGGTAGAACAAAACGTCTCCATCAAAGATTGCTATGAGCACAAGTATGACCGAATATTGACATACAACGAAATTGGATACCGCGCGAAACTCAGTAATATAATTCGAGGTATTTGTACCTACATATTCTCACCCATAAGTCAGATTTTTTTATGTTTTAGCTCATGCAGCAAAATTCCTAGCGTCGGCCCATGAACCATTCTCAGAATGTTCATCAATTACCAGTTGCTTACCATCTTCTCCGAGTAGCTTTTACATGTGTGCGTTACGATGAAAAATAAAATAATAAATACGCCAAGAAAATATCCTCCACCAAGTTTTATATATTTCTTATAAACTGCTTTTTCTACCTTCCCCGACTTTTTTTCTTCGCAGTATACGTTAGGCTTCTGTTTTGAATCTAATAATTTAGTGGACTCATCCGCCTCGTCATAATCTCCAAGTGTCACGTCACATTTTTCTTCCATCACAGGTTCTACGTAATTAAACTTTGTTATTTTTCTCCCAAAATAATTCTCCAAATAATTTTTCATAAACAGGGGCAGATCAACGGGTTTCAAATTGCTGATTCTCTCGTTCATGGAATATAATGTTAGTCTAAACATATTAACAAATTTCCCCGAAATGATTGTAAAGTCAGGTTTTATTGATGCAAGTTGTTCAAGGGTGTATTCAAAACATGGACGGATAAATGGGTATACCAATTTTTGTGCAAAAACTTTTATTTGACAGCACCTTGCTCTCATCCTTATGAGAAAACATGTTTTTTGGGATTCAATCGAAAGTGTTCGTAGGAACGGAAAAACTTTTATAATATTTTAGATATTTATGAGACCTACAAAATGAGACCACACGTAAAAGATCCTACTAATAGCAAAATGTTAGGACCGAAAAACGAGTCAAAATGCAGGTTTCAGCATTTGTTGGTAATGCGACGACAATTTCACGCTACTGTTGAAATTCTTCAAAATCCTTAGGATTCATAATTCTAAATAACAACAACAAAATTGGAGAATTTTTAATTGCTTATCCCAAATTCCAGTTTTCCGGCCATCACTACTAGTTTATTGAACAATATACAAGGTTCGTTCAAAGAGCATTTTATAACAAAATACACGTGTTTACCTTGCCGATATAAATCAGAAACCATTCCGAAGATAAACGTTATTTTTAATGCGAAAAAAAGGTTACGTTTTTTCCCTTCTAAACAAATTCAAACATTTCGTATTTGTGAGTAATTGAACAAATGCGCTACGATATTCGAAAAACATACCTATATACATTTCAAAACAAAGCGGAGATATATATATATATATATATATGTATATATATCATCCTTTGATGCGAATTACTCACAAAAACGAAATGTTTGAATTTGTATAGAAGAGAAAAACGTAACCCATATTTTTGTACATAAAAATAACATCTATCCTTCAGAATGGTTTGCGATTCATATCGGCAAGGTAACTAGTGTATTTTGCTATAAAATGCCCTTTGAACTAACCCTGCATGTTGCTCAATACACTAGTGGTGATGGCCGGAAAACAGGGGTTTTTTGATAAACAATTAGAAATTCTCAAAAACTATTTGACCAGTCTACTAGAATTTTGCCGTGGTTATTTATAAGTACAAATCCTACGAATTTAAAAATTCAAGTATCTGCGAGAAACCATCGTCGTATTACCAACAAGTGCCAAAACCTGCAGTTTGCCTCGGTTTCGACCATAACTTTTTTGCTACTAGTCGGATCTTTTTACATGTGGTCTCATTTTGTAGGTCTCATAAATACCTGAAAATCTTGTATAAGGAGGTTTTTTGTTTCTACCAAGACTTTCGATTGATTCACAAAAAACATATTTTCTCATTCTTTGTTGTCGAATAAAAAGTTTTCGCTCAAAAATTGGTGTTCCCATTTTATGCGTTCCTGTTTTAAATACCCTCTTGAACAACTTGCAGCAATAAAACCAGACTTTACAATTATTTCGCGAACCAGTGGTATTTTCGTCTAATATGATTAGACTAAGTGACACAAATGGGAGAGAATATTGCTTGTAAGCAGAAACTTCACAAAAAACTATTGGCGGGTCATTATTCATGTTATCTGCGGACAGAATGCTCACAATCAAGTGTCCTAATTTTGATCCACACATCAAAGTTGATTTTCTAATGAAATACCATATATTCAATTACATATTCCGATACGCCCTTTTGGAAGAAGATTGATTATTAGTTGTTGGGCTTTTATCTGAAAACTAACGTCCAGTAGGTTGACTATATACTTCCCATGCGTTCAAAACAGCTTTTAGTACAACTTTCCATGTATGTAGTGTAATGGCATCAAAAAGACGTAGGTTTTTTGAGAACCATTAGTGCACCATTTGCGCTTTTCATGAAAAGTGATCATCAGATTGCAGCAATAAGCTTGTCGGTACACGGTAGCCTCATCTGTCAGCATAATATATTACCTGAATCTTCTTTTTTCGAAAGAGTTTATCCGAGCATGTAAAAAATATGGCATTTCGTAAAAAAAAATCAACTATAATATGTGAGTCAAGAGAAAGGAAAACTATGAATAATTGTGAGTACTATATAAATGTGCACCCAGATGCTGTGTGTAATATCCCATATTTTATCTGATAAATTCATGTTTAGAAGCAATATTTTGTCATTGCCTGGATGTAACACCTTGTAGGTAAAGCTGTTGAACACACGACCAAGTTGCTCATAAAATAATAAAACAAAATGCTCCTACCCTTCACATGTTGTTTTCAGCATTAATAACCCCACGAGATTTCATTTGCACCACACCATTTTCAATCCATAGTATCCCGTCAGCCTTATAAAAAAAGTTGTTATTTTTGGGTGACGAAAATGCAAATCTTCCAGTCATAAACCTTTGCAAGCATTCTTAAACACGTATTCCTGAACATGTATGTCCAAAGACCTTAGACAATCATCTAATAGGTATACATCTGAATTCCTATATGCAGCTCTTGCCAAACTGATTCTTGCTTTTTGACCACTGCTGATGTTAGATCCTTGTTCCTTCACCATGAAATCGTCCCCTAAAATCGAATATCATTCTTGTAGCTCAGGAAAAGTCCTCACATAAAATATTCTGATTCAGTTTTTTACATAATAAGTATAACGTAAATTTCATTCTTGGTGTCCACGCTACGAAAAATTCCATGCGGTGAAATCTTGTGGTCTTATTGGCCATACAAATTAAATACGTGTGGATCGTGGGGTGATTGATTGCACTAAGGAATTATCACTCGCGTTCCTATTTCTCTTATAATCGCCAAAGGATGTTAGAGAAATACTTCAGTAACTTTTGTAGAGTAGCTTTATAGAGGCATCAGCAACAGTTGAGAACAGAAGAACAAGTAACGAAATGAGTACAGAGAATAGTCAAAGACCCTTTTTATATTCTAGGATTAGAGTTACGAATTTTCCAGAAATCAGTAGTGACTTCGATGGTGTTAATGCTTTAAGGTAATGACATCAGGATACCATAACTTACATTATCACTAAAGCGACACATTATCAAATAGCCTTGGACCTCCATGATGACTAAAGTATGAAAATCGAGAAGCCTTCTACTTACCTCCTGGAAGTCTGTCTCTATCAAGAGTAAGAGCGCACACTTTCAATACCTCCTCGTACCTGTTTCTATCAAACTTCTCGCCCAAAAGTATGTTTTGTTTCAAAGTAGAAGGAAAAACCCATGGTTCCTGAGGAGCGTAAGATACCCGGCCATTTACAAGCACGGAGCCCTCCTTGCAACTTATGTCATTCAACAGAAGTCTTAGGAGTGTGGTTTTGCCAGAGCCTATTGGACCTGAGATAATTGTCAGCCCATTGTTTACTTCGAAGGAGATTCCTTTCAGAACTGTGTGACCCCGTATTTCTACTGTGGTATTTCTTACGTTTACTTTAGCATTTTCGTTTATCCTGAAGACAAAATCCAGTAATTTTAAACATTGATGGGTTAAGGCTAGCGCACACCAGGACGTGGTGGAAGAAATCATCATTAAATCCCTCCCATCCGTGGCAGTATACACTGTCACGGACGCTCGTGCAATCACGGAAGATTTTTTCCGACATTATACAGTTTGTTTCTGCGAAAGGTTGGTTAATCTCGAAACTGGAGGTGAACTGACCTAAACATACCTTAGTCCAAAGTTTATAGTTTGCGAGATACAGGGTGTCAAAGTTACAATGATATTTCCTATTTTGCCTTATTGCTGGAGAAGTTTTACAGATTTTAGCATAAAACTCGGTATAGGGAGACTTTCTAGTATGAAAATACTAATAGTTTTCGAGATATATGTTTTTAATAGTTCCAATGCGTTATTTGTACCATGATGATAAAACATTTTTATAACATAATGATCAAGTTGCTTTGGATAATATCTGAGTAGCGTTGCTATGGTTTCTAATATTTGTCATAATATTGCTTTAAACTTTATGTATAATTTTAAGTTGACAATAAGTTTTTAAACACCATAAATATTCTGGTATGCATTTAATGTACGGATTGGCAGGATGTAATACTTTAAAGACAAATATCTGAAAAACTTTCATCTTTAGACGATAAGTACAAGTAACAAGTAAACCTTTTTTGTTAAGAAAATACAATAAAACAAGATTTTTGGTCAGTTGTTGTATACAGGGTAGCACAAAAAAGTTATGATAAGTTATGTGAAATATATAATATAATATGAAATAGTGCTCTAAGTGACGCTCCCTAGAAGTTTGATTTGTAGTATCTCCAATTGATTTCCCAACCTTTCGCAGACCCTGTATATACTTTAGTACAAAGTCTATCTTTTTTAGTTTTTTTTTATGAAATCCTTGAAAAAACTAAAATCAAGCAATTAACAATTGTTTGTCCAATAATCAAAAGCAACTCCTCTGTTGTATTATTTTTCTGATTTATCTTGATCTTATACAGATTGTTTTCAAGTTATCCAAAGATGGTATACACGTAATAAAAAGAATTAATGCTTACTGTTTTATGAAAAATTTGGCAACAGAGAAGTATTAAAGAACTTTCACCACCTTTGCTTTAGCTTATGTTTTACGAAGCTATACAACCATGATTTTAACTCTCAATACAAATATTACATATTAGAACAAGCAGAAACTCGGTGAAATTGCTGAAAGCCATAAAACATTTTTCATAAAATATAACACTATGTAGTGTAGACATTAATTCACTCACAAAATGCAAACCAGTATTTCTTATGTATTTTCCTGTCCTTATTTACTCCTGAACTAGCTAGTGACCCGGATCCACAGTAGCTTGTAGCAATACTGAAGAAGCTTTAAAAAAATGAAAAACACTATTTAATAGAAAATCCAACTAATAAATAAAAAATAATTACAAGTACTGCAATAGAAAGTCCAACAATCAGGTATGACCAATTACTTTGGAATAAGATCAATGTAAAGCTTAGGATATCAATACAAATGCAATTATAGTAAAAAAACATTATTTCGAAAATACACGTGCATCGCGCTTTTGTACTTCTAGGGTGTGTCGCTTAGACTAAAGTTATGTAATGTTTGTTGCATTTATGTATACTAAATTTGGAATTGCACAGTTGCCACAGCTCCCCATTGAACCGTGGAACCGATTCTCTTTTAGTAAACTGACTACTATCACAGAAATATCAAACAAATGTAAGCAATGCATAATAAATAATGGACTACATTCCGTGATTCAGTGGATGAATAATTTTGTCACCCTCAAGTGCATTAGTTTATGGAAAATCTTCAATAAAATGTTGCCTTTTCCTATTTTTGTTAGCGTCTACGTCTTCCCTGGATAACTTCGCAAATATTTTCATAACTGTGTGAATTTGTTGTAATGAAAAAGTTTAATTTAATTCATATTATCGATATATAGAACTCGCGAACCTTGTACAACCGCACGGGTATTATGTAAAAAGCCTATAAAGCGTCAAAAAAAAAACCTATAAGATGTCATCTTGCATACAAGTTAGTTTTTAGGGTGCAAACTGTCGTTCTCCGTTTGCTCACTAAGATCGTTGTGAGCGCGATCCAAAGCGTCCATCTATGGAAGAATGCTCGTCTCTTTCCAAGAATGCGTTGTTGGTTGCAGCCAGCCACTTTGTTTGTGAAATGTGTTAGAACGAAAATTTGGTTGAGTAGCAGCCATACCGCACCTGGACTATTGTGTTGGTCTGCATGTGTATAAAATCTGTGATATTTGCTATGTGAGAAAATTATTACTGACTATGCTGCCAATGAAGTATATCTTTCTGAAGAGAGGTTATGCTCAAAGCTATACATTACGATTTTTTCCTTTTGTGTTTTCAAATCTTTGAGAAGAATTACGGGAAATCACCACCGCGCCCGCGTTGTGTGTAATTACTATAACCATGTATATGACTTGTAATTCAACAGTCTACAGTGAATATAATTATTTCTTGTCTCTCATTTTTTAAATTCAGCGAATTTGCATATGTAATTCCCAGAATGGATTAGGAAAAGTGGATGCGCAACTAAATTCATGCCTTGAATCTCAATTAAGTGTATTTGAGACAAGAATCCAATGGAATTATCATCAGCACACATGCCATCTCTGAAGCAGATTTTACATCACATCAGAGCCAAACATTGATAACTGAAACATCATGACGTTTAGGCAACACATACAACTACAAACGAGTTCACGACAAGTGTCGATCACCTAGTACTAAGTTAACATCTTGTCGAAAAAACTACATAATGTCAAAAAAAATAGTATAATGTCAAAAAAATCGATATAACGTCACTTTTCAAGATACGTAATACCCGTGCGGCACTCAATGAATTTTTTATATAATTTGATCTTATCATTGTTTGGCCTGTCTTATCAAGTAAGTGACATAATGAATGTCACTTCAACAACATAGGCCGTCAGAAACTGAGATATACTTTCCCGAAGGATTTTCATGCACTGAATCCAAATCCGTGGTCCAAATCTCTCAATTAGTTCTAATTTCCGCAATATTATAATCTAAAACTGCAAGAACAGCCATTGTTGCCTATATTTGAGGTTATGTAGCACGGCGAATAATTTTTTTCTAGAAAATCATAAACATCATCTCAAAGTACAAGCCTTACCTATGAGTTTGCTTAAACATCTTCATCTAATGCCGAAATATGACTTATAATTTTTCTGATCTAGATGTTTTCAACTTCTATCAGAAGAAAGTAAGCTTTTATTCTGAAAAATGGCATCAAGTAGGTTGTTTTCTCCCCCGTCACTGGACCGATTTTCAAAAACTACACAGTTTTTTCATCCCTGACATAGTAGTAACATTGTGTGAATATTTCAACGTAATCCGACAGTACTTCTCAAGTTATAGGCGGGTATATGATTAGCGGTTAGACCGTCAGACGGGAGTGAGTAACAGCTGTTCGTTATATCGAGAGATTTGGAGCACAGATTCAGATTCTGTGCTTTAAAAACCTTCGAAGAAGTGAACTCTGGTTTCTGGGTAATAATCTGGTGGTAGAAACAGTTCCATATGCATACCCTAACATATTATCCTTCAAAACAGTTTTTTCATCGGCATTCTTCGTAACACTCTCCGTTTTGAGCAAAGCCTCTATCCTCTTAGCTGAAGCATACAACTCTGCGGACTCAGTGATACCCATAGGAATCACCACGTTGAAAGCGTGTCTCACTCTTTGCAGCAGAGTGAGGATAAAGTAAACCAGCTCTGCTGAAATAGGGTTGCCTAGCCAGACGTACATCATTACCATGGCAAAGAAGGCTAGTTTTGAGGTCAAGGCGCCCAGGAGAAGGATCATTACCTTTCTTATGAATATCTTCACTAGGCTGTTTATCTCGATCCTAAAAATCAAAGAGCACATAGGAAACATATGTCAAGTGTGTGATCACTCCGGGGCTGCATGTGACAGGATTATAATACATGACCAATCAAAGCACTTCAACAAAAATAATATTACTAGATTTTTCAGTGAAACACTTTCCATGAGCGCTCGCAGGAAGTTTTATCTGGGAGACGTGACAATACTATAATGATAAGATTATTCACGTATTGTACAAGCATAACTAAAACTAACATACGTATACCTAAATAAAGTTACCCACAGCAAAATTAATTGTGCATGTTAATGAACTCATAACCTAAATATATATACAGGGTGGCCCATCCATGTGTGGACTGAATATTACTCATAAAAAATACATTTTAGGAAAATCTGTTAATGGGATGTTATACATGACATTTGAGGGCATATTTCTAAAATATTGGCCATTATACAGGGTGTCCCAATGTCGACCTACATATCAAAGTTGTGATTTTTTAAAGGAATGCCTCAAATCTTATTGCATATTTGGATAAGCCAATTCAAAAGAAGAAAATTGATATAACACACTATGGAGTTTTGGTAATTAGCTACTGAGATATAAGGTGTTTTGCCTACAAAAACCCTCCACCTCGGCAACCCCTCAGTCCGCCATTTTGAAATTTGGAGTGCTAAATTTTTTATCACTTAACACACCACAGCTTTTATCGTATTTGTTACTTATTCGAATTTTAATTTTTGCTCATACAGGGTGGTCAAAAACGCAAATTGTAGTTTTTCTCAAAAATTTCAAATGCATCACCCTATATATTTGTGCAAGTTTGGATTCAATTTTTATAGGCTTTTTTTGATACTAGACACAAGGGTTTTTACGGCTATTTTTTCGGTTATTACCACGTATTTTATGGAACGGCGTAATTCCCTAAAATATCGCATCATCCTTGGAAACAAATAAATTGTTGATTAGTTACAAACTGTCAAAATTGGTTTTGTGAGCATTATAATAAAAAGCTGTTTGAAAATGAATTTTTCTACAGAAAAAATGGTGAATATGGTGTTCGTTAGAAATAATTTCCTGTCATCTCGCATTTATAAACAACGGTACCCTAATATGCGACATCCAAGGCCAGAAATATTTCCCGTACTACGAAAACGTTTTGAATCAAGTGGAGCAGTGTAATATAGTAAAAAATATAGAAATAATCCAAGTATCACCAATGAAGCGAATCAGTTGGAGGTTCCATTAAAGTTGCAGGAAAATCCCCATTTAAGTGCACGGCAAATTGGAGCAGAAACTGATATATGCAGATTTTGTGTCCAAAAGTTTATTCACAAGCATAGGTACCAGCCATATCACCTATGCTTGCATCAAGGCCTTCGTCCTCAGGATTTCGCAGCTCGAATGGAGTTTAGTAGAATAATGCTAAATAACTTGAGTGAAGACACTACTTTCCTGAATAAGGTTCTTTTTAGGCAAATAGATTTCCAAAATGAATGGAGCTTGAATGTTTGGGGAGGGGCTATTGTCAGACAAGTTGTCGGGCCTTTCTTTTTCGACAACAGATTAACAGGTACTTGAATTTTTTGCTCGAGCATTTGCCTTTGCTTTTGGAGGATGTCAACCTGATGGCATACCTGCGCATTATTATAATCGTGTGCATAACTATTTGGACACCTGCAGTAACAATCGTTGGATCGGTCATGATGGGCCTATATCTTGGTCTCCTAGGTCACCAGATATGACACCGATGGACTTCTTTCTATGAGGCTACGTTAAGCAAGAGGTTTATAGATATCCGCCATCTACGCCGGAAAATATGAAGGAAAGGATCAAGGATGCTTTTCTGAACATAAGGAAACACGTATTGAGGGACGTGCAACGGTCATTTATCCAAAGGCTACGGCTGTGTATTCAACAGAAAATATTTTCGAGCAGTTTTTGTAGATTAGGTATTGAGTAGTAATAGTTGTTTGTTTATGTTGTTGTTATAGTTGTTTTTCTCTATTACGCTTGAAGCTGATTTATACTGTTCTGATTGTTATTAGTATTTACGTCAAATCTGTACTCTTAGTGGCAATATGGCTAGCCCACTGTTTGTCTTTTGTTTCCATGGATGATGTGACTTTTTCCCTTAATTTTGGTGTGTTGTTCTATTAAAAGCTTAATAACTGAAAATCTAGTGATTTTGTCTGAATCAAACTTTATACTAGAAAAAAAGCTTAAGGAAAATCGAATCCAAACTTGCACAAATATATAGGGTGATGCATTTGAATTTTTTCAAAAAGTACAATTTGCGTTTTTGACCACCCTGTATGAGCAAAAATGTAAATTCGAAAAAGAAACGAATAAGATAAAAGCTGAGGTGTGTAAGTTCTTTTTGATATAAAATTCAGCACTCCAAATTCCAAAATGGCGGATTGAGGGGTTGACGACGTGGACGGATTTTCTGGACAGAACACCTCATATCTCAATAGCTAATAAGCAAAACCCCATAGTATGTCATATCAATCTTCTTCTTTTAAATTGCTTTATCCAAATATGCAATAAAATTTGAGGCATTCTACTTAAAAAATCATAACTTTGATATGTAGGTCAAAACTGAGACACCCTGTATAATTGCCAATATTTTAGAAATGTGCCTTGAAATGACATATATGCCATGCCATAAATAGACTTTCCCAAAATGTATTTCATTATGATTAATATTTCGTCCACACATGGATGGGCCACCCTGTATATATGAACGTTGGAGTTTTTACTACTACATTAAATTTAAACTTTCTTCGTGCCTGTCATGCTTGCAATTTGATGTCGATATTTTTCAACTCCAATTTTGCATTTTGTTTTATTTGAAATATAGCTTGTATAATTTGGAAATAAGGTTATATAATCAAAGGTAAGTATGACATCTTGGGCCTATAGTTTTTGAGGTGAAAGCTGTTTGCTTGATGATGTTGATTCTGTTTCTCGTTTGATATAAGTGATCTAACGGAATAAGATAATTTCTATGTAGAAACTACATTATAATTTTATAAAAAAATTGTGGCCTAGGGCCGAACAGTTTTGCTTCAGACTTCAACAGATCAGATGGGTATAGGGGTGGCTTGTCAAAAATTAGGTTCGAAGATTGCTTTTGGATAATTTCTAATTTATTCATTTGGTTATTCAGTGCTCCATCCCAACCTAAAATATTGCATAACTCATACGACTTTCGATCATAGCATGATATAAAATTTGTATTGTTTTTTATCCAAATATTTGTTTAGATACTTAAATTTAAACAATAATGGTCTCAGATTGGTCCAATATGTACTATATATTCCACTTTACATGTGAGTCTAAACGTACACCTAGATATTTTATTTTGTTAGTTAAATTTGTTTGAGTATTTATATCACCACAGATAATCTGTACAGATACAAGGATGATTATTTGTTTCTATGATTTGTGAATGGCATGAACACAGTCTTTAGGAAGTTAATAGTTAGGCATTTCATCACGTTGAGGGTCCTCGACTTCGTGTTTGTATTTTACAGGCCAACTATTGACCACCGGGATCATCTTAATCTTTTGCATACTTCATTTTTTTTTAAAATTATTTTAGATTTATAAAGCACTAAAAATTAGAACTGCAGCGCAAGTTCCTTGCTACTGAGTTAAACAACTCAAAGGAGTTAACTCATTGATCAATTCAATTGAACTAAGTACTGAGTTGAGCTGAAAAAACTTTAGTTGAGTTTTACAACACTAGAGATCAATTAGACCCAGCTTACTCTGGAACGAACTTCTGTCTACCCGCCAGCAGCGCTCAAGCGCTTGCAAACCTACGCAAACCAAGCCAAACGTTCTATTCACACGTTTGCGTTTGTGACGATTTGTTTACATACATGTTCAACATATAATTATAAGGTCGAGTCGCTGGTAAATGGCGGTAAATTTAAATTACGAAGTACCTATTAGGACTCTGATTTGTCTCCTTACCTCCTATTACGTGAAATCCTATCTTCAAATATGGACTCCCAATTATACATTTTTATAATTTTTATTGAAGAAACAGCATCTCGTATAGTTTGTAGTCTTTTGTCAGTATTCTTTGCCGATTCCACACGTAACTTGGATACAACTTTGCCAATGTAAACTGAAAAAGAAAATAGCAATTATTACATTCTTGACGATCCTTCAAAAGCCAAACTGCCATCGACGTAAAGAGGCCAATTAATGAGCGAATAGAACAACCAGCAGAATGGATTACTGTAAATACATCCGTTTGTGGTAAAATAGTTGATGGTCCTAGAATTTAATCTCACGATTACCACAACTTGGTCTTTATAGTTGAAACTTACAAACGATGGCAAAACTCATGCACTTTTTCTTTCTCTATTTCTCAAGAGAATGACCAAATTTGAACCGAACATTTTCTAACTCATGAGTAGCATATACGCTCGTACATCGATATCAATCAATATTTCCTTCATGACATCTTGTTCCAAAAGTACCGCATAATATCCTGGGAGCCTGCAACCCACAAACCATGCTAGCAAGATGCGGGTTGCTGCAGTTCCGGCAAATATTAACAAATCGGTGGTTATGTCTTTCCTTTATAGGTGACGCTCACGGTTTGTTTGTGAACTATTTTAACAGTGTTAACCCAGTGCAATATTCGCGACTGTCAGATAGTGATGTTTATGTAATAATCAAAATATCCGTGTCAATTGATGGCATTCTTTTTTGTTCCGCAATGTCAATGCTGATGTTCCGCAAGTTTTAGCTCCACCATAGGCATTTCCTAACATTAATGGCGCGAAGCAACAAAAAAGTAAGTTCGCTCTCTGAGATTATTTAAGAGGATAAGCGCCAATTAAAGGGAGCGAGATAGGAGAAGGAACACCGTAGTTAGTTACAGAGGCTGAAAGAAATAAAGATTAGCTAACTTTTATACAGGATATGACCCGTTGAGTTCTTCTTTCTGACAAGACTTGACCAGCCTTCAAAAAAGGCCGTTCGCATGACATAGATGTCGCTATATGTCACAAACTTTTTGTTTAACCATGTCAAATAATGTGGGACAGGCTTTTGTGATTTCCTGCTACCACTTCAAAGCATCCTCTGTTCTTGGTAGAAGCGATTTGTTAAAGTATGCATAACACCTACTGAGACCAGATTTTAAACTCCAGAGACACCTTTTCCCTAAAGGTGAAAATGGTCCCAAAGGTCTGCGCCTGTATTCCTCTTCTCCGGTTCATGGCTTTCTTTGCGAAACTGGCCAAAACAAAAACAAAAGTGTATCCCCCAAGATATCTGAGATTGTTAGAAAGCGTACATATCTCATAGCTAAATACATCTACTATGTGAGCGGCAGTTTACGTGGACTTCGTAGATTTTAAACATCTATCCTAACAGAAAAATGAAAAACCAAAGGAATCAACAATACGAGGTGTTCTGAAACGGTTATCTATCCAAATAATAACTGCGCCCGACTCTGTTTAGCCCCGGGGATCAGATGAAAGGGGGCTTTTTTACTGGAATGATAACGCGTTATGCCTTATTGTTTCGTAAAATAGTTTCTTCGCGAAGTATTTGCTAGAACCGGAAAGAACTAGAAAGCACATCACTAGTGTATTCAGAAAAAACTTACTCTGAATCGGTATCATAATCAAGAACAGTCCAACTCCAACAAAAGCTGCTACTCCAACTCTCCGATAAAGCAAATAAAATATCACAACCGTTTGGACGCACCCAATCCAAACGTCATTCGCATACATGATCATCGTCTCGAACGCAGCGACATCTTTCGTCATCAAAGTCACTATGTTTCCAGTAGTGATCGTGGTCAGTGACTCAGGGCTCAACCTCAAGCACTTTCTGTAGATCAGAGCGCAGAAAGCTGTGCGTATCCTGATACCCATTGAAGTCAGATGCAACAAATAGTTGTGCAAGTAGGTGATGTTTAGTAGATTGAGGAATATAAGTAAGGCCGCTAAATAGTATGCATCGCAGTCCGTTAGATGAGTTTGGTTTGGCTGGAAGTAATTGATCAACTGTGATATCGTCCATGGTATCGTTACCCTGAAAAATAAATTGGGAAATTTTGGTATCCAATATACTGGGCACAATAGATATCGCGCCACTATTATTGTCGTCTCATCAAGTAGTCGAAATACCAGGTATTAACAAGGCAAATAAGCAATGGCTTGCTATGTATTCAGGGTGTTTCGTACCTAAATGAAAATAACTAAATGGTATGTAGTATGGATCAAAGCTTTTTCATATCGGAGAATTAAAAAGTTCTAAATTCAATTTTATGGATATACGGGATATATCTAAACATGATAAATCTTCAATAGCACATATCTCAGGCACCGTTAAACCGATTTTGTTGAGAGTACCTGGCACAAAACAGGGGATTTGATCACCAGTCAAGTTTAATAAAAATTGGTATAGTGATAGGTCATGTTGTGTTGATCAAGTGTGTCAATAGGCGCAAAGCCCAGAAATGTTTCTGTTGGAGATACGTGTTGAGGTTTGGTGTCTAAGGCCGGTATCGTCAGTCGTCCCTACAATTGTAGGGTGCGTTTATGGCCTCCTTGATTGTCATACTCTTTTCTCTCCTTCAAAAATTTCTAGATTACACTCGTCCCGTGTCAGCGTCAGCGCTCTCCTATTGTTAAGATAGGATGATAAAACATGATATAACTCAAAAGCAAGCACAATTTGATGCAAATAGATGTTTGTGACATAACCTCAAAATAGAGCTCTGACATGGAGAAATAGAAAACTATGACAATCAAGGAGGCCATAAACGCGCCCTACAATTGTAGGGACGACTGACGATACGGGCCTTAGTCCCTGTAGGTAAGCCTGACTGCACCATTCTACGAAAACTAACTCGTCTTTATTGTAGACTTGATGATATAATAAAAATCACGTGACCACATACAATATATACAAGGTATCCCAATGAAAATGAAAAGTAATTTAATAGCAAAACTATGAAAAAAATGATTGACATTTTATAGGTGAGTATTTAGACTTTATTTGAAGATGGGGGTTTCGTGGCATAACAAACATGTTTTTTTTATAATCCTATAAGCAGTGTTAGGCTTGATACCAGAAGAAACATAAAAAACGCGAATCTGACGATGTAAAGATAAAATATATGAAATGTTTCATTAAAACTTTTTGAGGAAAAATGTTTTGCGTTTTGCAGAAACCTGATAAAATTGTCGTACTTGTTCATCCTCTTTCCACAATTCAGTCAAATTCAGGTGCTTCAAATTAAACGAAAGATGTTTTAGGAGCTCAAAATTCCAGGATCCGATGAAGCTTTCCCTCGAATTGACACTGTTGCAGTTAAAATCGTTTTTCATAGCTCTATTCTTGTTATTTTTACCTTGTACATTCCACCATCTGTAACGACAACCGAGTTTGAGTATTACTTGGATGATTTGGTATAATTTATTGGAGCTTTTGAATCTTATAAAATTTTCCTAGTTGGTGACTTCAATATTCCTACGTTCAGTATTGATGTAAATGACCGTATGAATCAAATTGTAAGCCAGTTCTGCTCTTTCTTACAGCTTCAAAATGCAATAATGTAGTTAATGATAATGCACGGTTACTGTACTTTAGCCAACTTCAATGTCGTTGTTCTGAGGAATGACTTACAGCCTGTTAAGGAGAATCACCACCATCCAGCTTTAGTACTCGAGCTTAATGTTAGTGATATCAAGCGGAGTTTTTCCTTTATTAATATTAGATATAATTTTCGCCGAGCAAATTATAATGCTATGTGTGACGCATTCCTATTCACTGACTGGTCTCCAATTTCTGAATCCGATGATGTAAATGTAGCATGTGGTCTTTTATGCAATATTATAAATCATGTGTTTGAAGACAATGTTCCTAAATTCAAGACTAAATCTCGCACATATCCCCCATGGCTCAATAGGGAGATTATCGCAAATATAAAACTGACAGACCAAGGAAAAAATCAGAACAAATAATGCCAACCATCTCCATCAAAAATTTAAACAGATCCGTGCTGAGATTAAGCATCAAATCACAGTTACATATTCAGCATATATTCAGGATGCTGAGGATAAAATTCGTCAAACTCCTACTAAATTCTGGTCATTCGTTAATGCTAGAAGACAAAATTCAAGAATTCCAGAAAATATAATTTATAAGGACATTCATTATAGCTCGCCTAGGGAGATAGTTGATATTTTTGCTGAATATTTTTCAACAGTTTTCACAAAATCTGATGCATCTAACTACAAATCATTAAAGCCCACTCGCACAACTAGTGCATTGATCTGTATTAGTGAAGATGATATTATTCGCGCTTCTAGGAAGGTCAATAACAAAATGACTTCAAGATTCGATGGTGTTCCCAATTTTATAGTAAACGGTTGTATTTATGTATTGGCCAAACCTCTGTGTGTAATTATCAATCTAATGATATCAACATGTACGTACCCCTCGATCTGGAAAATGACTAAGGTTTGTCCGATTTTCAAAAATGGTGATGTCAGCGATATCTGTAACTGTAGGAAGATAGCTATACTTTTTACCTTTAGCAAAATGTTTGAGATCCTAATATACGATGTCTTGTATGGCTCTGTGAGAGGATCTATTTCTGACAATCAGCATGGGCTTATGTCTGGGAGGCACAGTCACAAACTTGACTTGTTTAACGCAAGAAATGTCTACAGTTTTGGATGATCAGCGCCAATTGGATGTCATATACACTGACATTCAAAAGATCTTGGAGCAAATTCATCATTACTTGTTATTAGCTAAACTTGAATCTGCTGGCTTGTCAGATCCTTTACTGCTTCTCATACAGTCTTATATCCTGGAAAGGAACATGTACGTGGAATATGGCGGGTATCAATGCAAGACTTATACAGCAACATCGGGTGTACCCCAGGGGTGTAATTTAGGACCTTTGTTGTTCATAATCTTTATTAATAAAATTTATCGCTATCTTTGCCATGCATGCATCTACTTTATGCTGATGATTTGAAAATATATGCTGTTATTAATAATCTCAACGACTGCATTCTATTGCAAAACTGCGTGAAGCTTGTTTACTCATGGTGCTCGAACAATACAGTTAATATTAATATTTCAAAAGGTAAGGTTATGTAGAAAACTTCATCCTATATTATACGATAACTATAACATTGATCACAACCTGCTAGAGCGAACCTCGACTGTCAAGGATTTGGATGTCGTGTTTAAAGCTTCTGTATTTCACTCTTATCAGGAGTAAGCTGGAGCACGCATCTATCATCTAGTCTTCTACCTATCAAACCTGCAGAGTGAGCATTGAGTGCGTGCAGCGTAAGGCACTTAAACATTTTTATTTTAAATGTCACGGTCACTACCCTGAAAAAAGTTTTGATCATTTGGCGCTGTTGAGAATCTTTCAACTTGATCCGTTACAGCTAAGGCGTGATTTATCGGCGCTAAGATTATTATATAAAGTATTAATCAATCAAATTGATTGCCCCTTAATATTAAGCAAAATTATTTTTCGCGTGCTTAGGTTAGGCAACCGGTTTCAGATTTTGTGTTACCCTGACATTTGTAATACAAACATCGGGTGTAAATCACCATTATACTATATGTGTAAATGTTCCAATGCGATTTGTTCCTCTTGTGATATTTTTTGTGATCGAGAATATTGGATTGATACCGAGATTGGTACCTTGGTGTGATATAGGATCGATATGTTAAGAGCTATTTCCACATTTCAAATATTGGCATACTTGTATACATTTACTTGTGTTTTTTTATGTTCCTCTGTTGTTAAATTATTGACATACTTTCGTTGTTGGTATATTTCATGTAATTGGGTGTAACCTGTTAGGAATTATAAATAAATAAATAATTAAACACCCTGTGTGCCTAAGGGCGAAAACGCAGTGGAAGCTGGTTTCCTGCTTACCGGCAACTAGCGTCAATCGGAACCGAATTTTGGCGCTGGTAATGGACACAGTGCTCACGAGAAAAAAGGGAATTAAAACCGGCCTCTTGTCAGTTCCAGCGTAGTATTCGTATCAACATCGGGTCTAGCTTAACCGAAGATGAATTTATTGCATTGGACAGCTCTGTAACTGAAATAATCACTAGAAAGGAAGTTGGTATTCACCCCATAAATCGTGAGAGGGTACATTATGGTGAATATCATCATTTGTTAAAGGCGTTGAAAGATGACCCCGACCGCTTTTTCAGTACACCAGAATGAATCATATGGGGAATTGTTTGTATACTGATGCGAATAACTTGTCTGTATCCATTATCCACATGAACCTGCTCTGACAACCGGCGAGAAAGAACTAAATAATTGTTCCGGCAAAACCGGTATCGCCGACTGCCTGCGCCGGCAGCCTGAGCCTGCCTCTATTGTGTTATTGCCAACTCAAGAGCATTATATTATTATAGAAGCTTCTAGGCGCCGATCGGCTCTGGTTGCCGGTAAGCAGGAAACCAGCTGTGTTTTCACCCTTACGCATGTTATGTTAAAGTTATGGCTTTTTAGATAAATCATCCGTAAATACTGAATTTAGAACTTCCTTATTTTCAGATATGAAAAGTTTTCGGTCCATACACCTACTATTTCACTACATCCATTCAAGGATGGAATACCCTGTAATAGGCACAGGCTAGAACGGACATGTTTGCTTTCCGTCTCAGTTACCATGATCAAGTGCAACTCATTAGTGTGGTATGGGTCTAGCCTTTGGAGGGAGACTAATTGAAAGCATACAAGTAGCTGTGTTACATCAGTCATGATTTCTGTCGTCACAAAAATATGTCAAGTTGCAGAAATAAAAGCACTTACAGACTTTTGTAGTCCAAAAATCATTCTTATTAGAAATATGAACCGGAGTGCGGACATGGATTTAAAACATGACACCTGTTCAATTGGATTAGTAGCATCTATAACACACACCACCCATTCCAGCCACTCCTCGATCAACTGTCAGTTAATGTCAACTTTCATGCTCTTTATGCTTCCGATGGTTTCGTCTCGTGCGCCATTTTCTTAAGTAACAAGATCGTCACGATGTATGAAATCAAAAAATTTAGCAATCAATCCAAAAGTGTTTAAATCCGTTGTACTGTTTTTTTTTTTGACACATGGCTATGTGTAACTGATAAATTTTAACAACTGCCAGCATGCGTACAGTTTTCATTAGGTCACCACTAAGTGTTCTCATTAACTTAGTTAATAACATTTAACAACAATCTCGCCTACTTTCGTAAATAATTTGAGATAAACTTTTCAAATGTAGTTGCTATTTTACAAATGTCTTCTCCTGATGATCGAAACCTATAGAATAATGTTACAAGAGTACACTTTGCATTAATTTATCGAAGTACCCAATAAAAGCTGAACCTTTTCTCCACCTAACTGGTTGTTGAGATGACGATACGATGACTACGGCTCACGCCGTTATATATGTATATATACATAGGTGGAAAATTAAAGCTTCCGCCTTTTGTTGGGTACTTCGACAAAATTTAAGCAAGGAGGACTCTTTATACTTGTTTTATTCTCTCTAGCTTTCAATGGTCTTTGCCATCATCATCAGGAGCTGCAATTACATTGATAACAGTAGCAACAATAGTGTAAAATGAATTTAACTTAACTTATTGTTGCTAATTGTTGTTTACGTTAAGGATAAGGGAAACACCCAGTAACATGGTGAAAGCTGGATAAATGGTACAATGGTCAAAATTATACAAACTACACACAGCTGTATGACAAGAACAATTTAAAAACAGATTAAAAAATATTTAAAACGAAAGTTAAGCATTACATCGTGAACAAAATGGTGGGCATGGAATCATGAGTAAGATGAACCTTTTGACAGATGGCCGAAGGTTAGCAGTGTCCGTGTAGAATGATGGAACGAAAATTCTTTTGTAAGGCGTGTGCTACGTTGCCAAATCACTTCAGATGGTGTGATTTTCAGGATATGTTGGGTAAGAATTTGTCAACCCGACCAGAGGCAGTTGAATTAACTATATTATTATTAGATGGGCAATAGAATTAACGGTTATTATTTAATTATGAGGAAACGGTCATTAAAATTTGAATGGAATGGAGTTTTTTTGGTGGAATAGACCAAAAAACAGATTCCATTTATGGTTGTGAAGAATCAAAATTTGGAGAGATGTGTAAGTGCTCAAATTTTTCGCAGTTTAGCAAATATGAGTAAATGAAGTTGCTTAACATCAACATGGTTGCATGGTTTTAATTTGATTTTTAGCTCCTGATGATGGCAGCATAGTCTGTCGAAAGATTGAGTATTGTAAGTCAAAAGGGTACACTTAGCTGCATAATTTGTCGATATCCCAAAGAAAAGTCTTCCATTTAACAATACATGTATATATATACATATATATATATATAACTTGAGACGTGGTCATTGTCGTCTAGACCAGTTAGGTGAAAAATTAAAGCTTCCGCTTTTGTTGTAAGTTAATTTAAATTCATTTTACACTATTGTTGCTACTGTTATCAAAGTAATTGCAGCTCCTGATGATGATGGCGAAGTCCATTGAAAGCTAGAGAGAATAAAAAAAGTATAAAGAGTCCTCCTTACTTAAATTTCTGTCGAAGTACCCAACAAAAGGCGGAAGCTTTAATTTTTCACCTAACTATATATATATGATAATAATTTTGTGGCTCGAGTTCTATAATTGTAAAAAATAACTACTTTGAATCGAACGTCGCTTGATTGAATATTGGTTCTAGATATGAGCTTATTTTTTAAAATCGGCGGAATGAATGAGAACTATATTCTGTGGATGTAAGTAACTAAGCGTAGCTCACACAGTTCTGTTACTCTCAACCACTTCAAGTCTTCGATTACATGATCATATTTTTTCCAATTATTATTATATATATAACCGACTACATTAATTTTTGATTTTCTGGAGATGTATGAGAGATATTGGATCGAGAAATGGAAGATAAACTATAACTAATGTTGGACGTTAACAAAGGATCACTCCAAAAATTTTTAGTACTATAGTCAAGAAATTGTTTATTAAGATATAATTTACGTGTGGTATAAAATTTAGACATTCATCTAAAGTTACGCCCAAGTTTTTGGTTAACTGACTTACTTCGCTAGTGTCAGAATTAAAGTTTACTTTAAAATTTCTTTTCGCATCGCTTCTAAATAGTTTTGGGGAAAAATAATGACTTTTGATTTCTAAAGGTTCAAATGAAGATTATGATTCTTTGCATCAATACTAATAGATCTTATATGTATCTTCATTTACCTCAGACTCAGCCAGAAAGTGGTTAGAAACGGCAATATTAATATAACATAATATACAATATAAACCTATTAAGGAATCAACAGTGGAAACTCCTGAGCCTTTTTGATTAAAATAAAAATATTGCAGTGACACTCCGTTCATGATTTTGTAACAATTTACTAGCATATTTTCCAAAAATAATATTTTTGCATCTTTCCTACTAACACGTTATCCTTGAAGTGTAGTCACACGATATCATAGTCGAGCAAAAGATGGACTTATACGCCGTCAGTAATGCTTCTAACAATGTAATAATTGAATAGAAAATAAAACTCACACAACCAGTGTCCTCATGAGCAACTGGAGCACTCCTGTCAAAGCATACTCCTTCCCAAAGCACTTCCACAATAATCTATACACAGAAATTGTACCCAAGCGGTCTAGATCTTCTTTAAATCTGCTTTCTATCATATTTCCCAATTTTTGCGAGCTATGACCCGGCAGTACTTCAAAAATATCTTCATGAGAAATTTTATTTCTTCTGTAAGTGTTGCGAAATAATCCTATGGTGTACCTAAACAAAAAAATAACTCTCAATAATTCTCTTAAGCTGCCGTTACACGCCGCGATAGTGACAAAAATGTGTATTTTCAGTGTTTCCTATCAACTGATTACTGATGTCAAGAAGTTCTAGTTGACAGATGACAGTGTTTTTGAACAAGAGGAGGGTAGTCTTGAATAACTAGTTAACGCAAAGAAATTCAAGCACAAAAAAGTGTTTAAAGTGTTTTCTTTGTTCATTTCGGGCTTTCGAAAGTGTTCATGTTCTTCATCAATTATAATTGTGATGACAATTTCGGACGGATTCTTCAAAGAGCTACCCATACTTCAAGATAAGCAACCCAAAAAGAGCGAAGAAACCATATTATTTATTGAACAACACTTATAACGCACAGGTTACAAATTAAAATATGGATCAATATGAAACACTTCGTAGGTCGAAAACTTTAAAATTATGTTGTATCTACTCGTATAATTATTGGAGGAAAAAGCTTTCAAAGCCAAAATGTTACAGCCAGTTTAAACAAAATCGAGAAAAAGTGAGCTGAAAAAATGTCTGGCTTGACCTCCTTTGCGTCGTATCTATACTTGCTATTGAGCATCAGTGCTGGGCCCATCGTATAAATCACATGAAGTACACCAATGTATACAAGTATACAATTGTAAATGTATAATGTATACAACAGAAGTGTTTTTTGGATAATTAGAAAAGGTGTAGATATAGATATTTATTGTTTATATATATATATATATATATGTATTTACTCTTATATATATATATATATATACACAGGGGGACTTTGAAGTTGAGTCATTAATTTTCAGATAATGATTGTAGAAGGAAGATAAACCAAAACATGTGTGTAACAATAAAAAAATAAAAAAAAATGTTACCTTGTTTTATAAAGTATCTTCCCGACAAGTATTTCAGTGCGGACCTGTATTTGATCGTGCGGTCTTGGAGCACCGGCATGCCCTCCCCTGTGACGTCTTAAGTCGCAGCAGCATTTTGTAAAGACTCCCCCCCCCCCCCCCCCCCGTAAATAAGAATCATGTCCACAAGTTCAGCATTTTCGTAAACATGTGCCATTTTTTATTTCGTTTGAGCCACGCAACAAACACCACTATTCACTCACGCGTTACCGACTGACAGATTGACTGAATACAACTGAATAAGATTGTTGTAAAAACATCGCGTTTCAAATTCTTTCGCTTTTTTGTTTCCGATGCGATGAACCGATTAGGCGGATTAAATCCGATGTTGCCAAACACGATCACATAATATTATTATTGAGACAGGCGGTACTCAAACTTCTAAAGGGCTATAACTTTGTTACTTTAATTTTACCAGAAAAATCTTAAAGGAAAAACATTTCTTTTTTTTCAGATCTACTCACTGTTAAAATAAATGACTCAACTGCGAAGTATATATATACAAAGTTATATTTTTAAATGAATCTGGAAGATTTTTAAAATAAAATGAAACCTACGAGTATTCTAGAAACAAAATCTATCCCTTGGACTGATTCCATTCAGCGTCGACATCATCTTCAATATTTAGGCAAGGGCCTTACCGGTGATTCGTAAGGAGTAGTATACATGCTTTCTTTATACTTAATCCTATTGTATTTCATAATTTTATATGTGCTTCTATAAGGCAAGTAGAAATTGGTAAAATAGTGTGCCGATAGCCGCATATTACGATACTACAAATGTTAGTTTAGTATGTGATTACAAACGACAACTTTCTTTTAAAGATACAGCACTTTTCAGAACATTTTCTTGGAATGGAGCGGGGACAGATGGGATTTCCCCCTCCTCTCAAACTTTTGACAGTTTCAAGTTACACTGGGAGTGGATAGGTAGCACATGTTGCACAAAAATTTTGCTTCAAGCTCCTTGATAAACTTAGCTGCTCCCTTTGAATCCGAAATAAAAAGACCGATCGTTTTTTGTCAAATACACATTAATAAAATCAACCGTTTGCTATGACATGTGCGGTTCCTATATCGACGATGACCTCATAGTCTTCTCCTTCGTCATTTAAAATCAGGTGGCCCTGTTTCCTCCATTTTCTTTTTTTTTTTGCTTTAGGACCAAGCCATGCAGCCAGAAACTAGGTTGTATATATTTATATTTCAAATTATGGACAAACACACGACGTCACAACATACATGGCGAAGGCGAGATTCGAACTCGCGGCCCGGCCGGCCGGCTGATCAGTAGCACGACATTCTGACCCACGCGGCCTAGCGAGGTCCCCTCCATTTTCTTGATTTATGATTTAATAATTTAACTTAATTTTCGGTACTGCGAAGACAATTTTTTTTTAAATGACATTGTTACATAGACCTGTCATCCGCTAGGACATCACCTACGTTGGGCTATTAATCGTACCACCTGATTTTTTGACGTTTAGATTACGTCACATCCGTCTTCCCCTATTCCCGTACTTCGCGAAAATTTGAGTATCAGTTCCCGGTACTGCACTGTGCTACACCGTGGATTCGCGGAAAAATCCTTATTGAATACTTATTGTTTACACTGGATACGCAGTGTATACACTGCTCAAGCGTTGTCTACATAGTAAAAAAGATAATTAAAGTATATTAAACGCCCATCCCTATTGAACATGTACAGGGTGTCCAGAAAATGATAGATATTCTTGCAGCTGCAAATACGTTACGTCATAACCAACCATATGGTAGAAGTTTGTTTCAGTAGAAATCGCATAGTTTTCTAGAATTTCAGATCTTTTTGATGTTATTTTCGTGTCATTTCTACAAAGATTTACTTTTTTGGATCAGATTTATTTTAATTAAGAGTGGCGATTGAAATTTCAAGATGGCGGCTCGGTGCAAACTTGGAACATTCTTTCAAATGGAATAAGAAGTCGTGTGATACCTCGTTTTGAAGCACCTACATTATAACCGCAGAATATAAAAAAACTGCCAACGTTGCCGAATTAGAGGGTTTTTGTACATTGAGTCGCTCGAAATCTACAAATAATCATCAAAACGCTATAGTATGTTATATCAACCTTCTGAGATGAAGATTGATGTGATACACTATAACATTTTCATAATTAGTTGGTGAGCTATAAGCGGTTCAATGTACATACAAGAACGCAAAAACGCTCAACTTTGATAACGTGCCAGCCCGTTATTTTGAAAGATAGTGATTTTATATACTAGAGTTATGAAGTACTCATCAGGGGCTTCAAAAAAAGGTATTATATGACTTCATTCCATCTAAACAAATGTTACACGGTAGCTCCCAGCCGCCATCTTAGAATTTTTGAATGTTATTTCTACATCAAAATACAGCAAAAATAAATAGGGGGTACATTTCTTGAAAGCGCTGTATATTTCTCAAATGTCACTCAATCAAAAACTTACATAAAGAATATCCTCGTAATCCGAGAAGCCTTTGCTTGGGGATGAATCCGCCTGTCACACTGTTCAGCAAAATCCATTCTAATGGCATATTAGCACTGGTGCATAGTCGGCTTGAATTTAATCAAATTCAACTGAAAAAATAGTAAAATATACAAAATCATTGTACGAGCATCCATTTATCTATATCTCAACAAACAAAACTGTCGTGGTAAACAGCCATTAAACGTCTTCTTTTGATAAGATCAAGAAAGTGATACGTCTAAATTCATGTTCCAATATGGTTTTATGTTTGATATTTGATTAGCTTACAGAGTATTAAAATGCAACATATATTGAATGTTTCACCATATCACAGATAAGAATCCTGAGATGTAAACTACATTGGTTTTCTATACTTCATCAACAAGTGATGGAAGTATTGGAAAGAACAACGGAAGGGAAAAACCTAAAAGAGTACCTGATTTATTGTGGAATTAATCAGAGGTTTTTAGAGTCGATGGAGAGCATACAGCTCCGGTTATAATTCCACGTAGACTTATACAAGGATGCATTATTTCGAATTGTAAATATCAAAAGTACATCGAATTATGAGAGACTTCCGCGACCAGTGTCCAAACGATTCATGCTTCTTGACTTTTCGCCATGACCGGTAGATGGCATCTTCGGGTCGGTCAGAGGAATCATCAGTTTGGCTGGTTTACAGATTCTTTAGCTCCTTCTGTAAGAGGGATTATCGGGACTCTAGCAGAACGAGCTAAAAGGATCTGGGAAAAAGTAGAACTGAAAACGGAGCTAGAACATCTAAAAAAAGCTTTCAGGGCTATCGGTTATTCTAGAAAGCAGATGGTAATATTTATGAATAGCGATCAGAGAGAAACTAATCCTACCAATAGCTAAGGCCTTCTTACCATATATACCTAGAATAACTGAAAGGATCGGAAGTCTGCTCACGATAGAAAATATCAAGACTATAAGCCGACAAGAAAAATATAAGAACAAGACTAAAGAGAGGACACACTCACTGGAAACATTTGTGTTTGTTTGTTTCAGATTTATTTAGCAATAATGCTACAATGTCCATAATATACATATTAGACAGTATATCACAAAATACATTATGTCTTCAAGACTATATATTTTTATACAAAACTTCACTACTATGAATTCTGGTTTTCCATGAGATATTTTTTTAATTTCCCTTTGAACATTTTCAAGCTGACACACATCTTGATATCATTACTTAATTTATTAAATTCGTACAATCCCTTTTGAAATACAGACTTGCTCGTTATATTGCTACTGCAGTTTTGTAAATGAAAGTCTATACTTCCTCTAGTAGAATAATTGTGGCACTCATTGTTCGATATAATAAAATTTTCAAAGTGATTTGGTAGAAGATGATTTTTTCACTTGAATATGAAAATGAAAACCAAGTAGGCTAAGAAATTTTTGATATTTAACCATTGTAATTCTTTCAGTATAAAATGTATTCTAGTATATTTATTTTAATTTAAGATGATTCTCATAGCTTTATTCTGTAATATTTGTAATTTTGAAAATACAGTGTCATTTGCAGTGAACAAAATAGTCGAACAATATAACAAATGAGGAAGAATGATAGTATTGTACACAATTTTTTTACAATAAACGCTTAGGTTATGCGAAATTCTATAAAAGTAGTTTATTTTCTTGGACATTTGTGAAATAACATATTGAAAGTGTCCTTCAAATTTTAATTTACTGTCTACGAATATGTCCAAATATTTAAATGGTTCGATTGACACAGTTTTTTTTTGATGAATTGTAAGATTTATCGCATTTTGATCTAAAGATATTCCTATTAGCATATATTTTGTTTTGTTTCTGTTTAGTTTAAGTTTATTCACATTTAACCAGTTTATTACGTTTTTCATATCATTATTTAACAGCTATATTGCAGTTTCAATGTCTTTATTTGATATATATATATTAATGTATCATCAGCAAATAGTTGAACTTTGCAGTGTTGTACAGGGTGGGCCATAAAGGTGTTGGCAATTTCAATATTCAATTAAAAACTAACCATGCCATATAAAAGAAAAAAGATGTATTTTTAAAAAGTAGAAAAATAGGAATTTTTAAGGCTTAAAAATAATGTTTAGACAAGACATTTTTCAGCAGCTCTAGATACCCTAGCTGTATGACATGTGGCCCCAACTTGTTGAAACCACATTCTAGAGGTATTGCCTTGGAGTTCTTGCAAAGCTGGCACCAAAAAGTCTGTTATCATATTGCAATAATTGTTAGCTTTGACTGTCATCGCTTACCCTCTTTCGTCCTCAAAAAAGTACGGTCCAACAATACCGGATGACGTAATTCCAGCCCACACGACTAGTTTAGGGCTGTGAAGTGGACGTTCATGCAAGCATCGGGGATTAGTTTTGGACCAGAACCGACAATTTTGTTTGTTAACATGGCCATTGAGGTGAAATTTGGCCTCATCACTAAGCATCACGTTGTTAAAACTGTTGAATCGGTCGAGCATCAAATTGACAAAGTTAAGTCGGTTCTTGGCATCATCTGGTTTTAATTCTTGGACTAGTTGAATCTTATAAGCCTTCAAATGCAAATAACCTTTCAAAATTAGCCTCAAGCTCGTTCTTTTGATGTAAAAAGCCTGACTTCTCTTACGTGTTGACTGTTGCGGATTTCGCTGAACTGAAACACGAACACGCTCTACATTGTCGGCTGATCTTGCAGAAGCTGGACTACCACGAGCTGTTGTTGCTACTGCGGAGCCGGTTGTTTCAAACATTCTGATCCATTTCCGATCACATTGGCGCTTGGAACTTCTCTTAAATCGCGTAAACCGTGTTCATGTCGATACAAAGGTCGTGCGGTAATAACCGATTTATTGTTTTCGTAATACGCTTGGACACAAAATGCACGCTGCGCTCCCGTGTACGGCTTCATGGCGACTAAATTTCCTGGCAATACCGCGCCTAACAGCTTATCCCGCCCCCCAAACCCGCGCCCGCGTTTCCGAGAAATTTAAGATATAAATCGCCAACACTCTTATGGCCCACCCTATATAAGTATCCCGCGCACCTGCGAAAGTGTGTATAATAGAACAACGAAGCGATCGGTAAACACAAAAATTGCTAAACACAGAACAAACTATCGCTTAGGCCACACAAATAAGTCTGCAGTAGCAGAACATACCCATAAGGAATGAACCCATACGATGAAGTTGAAGGAAACTAAGCTTCTGGCCACAACAACATCTTATTAGGCCCCACTAAATAGAAAAGCAATTGAAATTTCAAAGCACAGTAACAATTTCAACAGGAAAGAAGAAACACACATAGTTAACAAAACCTGTATTTTAAAAATATGGAAATACTTATATGCGGCAGGAAAGGAAACAATCGCACCGGGTAAAAGAGACGTCTGACCCTCGACCCAGGCGCCAGATATAAATAACGACGGCAAACCTTTCCACCGCACAGGGTAGGAGGGTGTGTGTGTGTGAGTTTGATCAGTCTCTTGGAAGACGCTGAAGAGTTAACTTCGATCTGTTTCTGAAGATGCCATCTACTGGTGATGGCAAAACGTCAAGAATAACAAACAACGGCGCTAGCCAAATAGCCCAAGGAGAACAAATCGTTCAAAAGTACATTCCTAATGGAAGGATGCGTATTCAAAAGCAGCGATATCATCATACAAACAAAAAAATTGGACTCGGCTACTGCTAATCAATATTTATGTAGGGCGTAGAAATATAGATAGAAAGTACTGACTATACCATGAACAGACAAAGTGATATGGAGGATGAATACAACCCCAAAGGTGCTACTTTTATAACGTCAAGTATGGTAGTCGGGAGGCAAACCTTTTACCCTTTTTCCGACCCTATACATGGGTCATATAATGAGAAACCATAGCAAACACGAGCTGCAATCTATTAATACGTTAAAGAAGGAAAAATATAGGCACCTGATGCTCAAGTATCAGCGGAAGGTGTTTTTGCGCCTATAGAACGATGCTGGTGGTTGCTGGAATCCCGCCAATTGATTTATTGACTGAAGCAGATGCTACAAACGTTGAACAGGAGGCGCCAGACGGCGTAATTATGCATGGAGCATGGGCTAGGACCCTGATTCCAGATAGAATTGACAGGAGATACGTACAAATAGATTCCTATACTGCACAGTCGCTTCCCTCCCATGGTTGTTCTGAAAGCTACAGGCAGCATCTGCTAGAATTCAGCAGTTGGGTTGATTATCAGAGACAACTGGGATTGGCGCTCGACGAGAGGCTCACTGCTGACAATTTTTCCAATCATGCAGGCAATGGCAAATATTGAACAACCTATATGAGGGAGAAAGCAGACATAAGAACCAACAATAGGTTTGCTAGGTATGCACATATATAATGTACAAGCGTATGTACGGAGGGGCGATAATGAAAGCTTTCCCCTATCCAAAAAACATGAATTACTCTAATGTACCTTACGGAGAGAAATAGAAGGAAAAGAAGCTCCAGGTTGAAGAATGGCATCATGATTGGCCAACCTAAGAGCCTGGTTAGGAAAACCTTCAACGCACTATCCTGAATAGCAACCTACAACATTATTGTAACCAGAATTTTTGCCAACGTTCAATGCTGCTCATCCTCCAAAAAAATTGCCTCAAGTAGGCTAACCCCGTACTTCCTACGCAACGATGTCATCATTTCATAAGGGATTATATTAGGCACAAGTTTGTCCCTCTTGGAAAAACATGTATAATTATAGCCCAACAATGCAATCTATCCGTTCATTCAGCAACGTCGCAATCCAGCATGGGACTATATTGTATGGGATACTGGGTTGCCAAACGTACAAGAAATGTCGTACATGTACGGGATTATAAGTTATGGTATGAGATACGAGATTAATACGAATCTCGTACCTAGAGTTTTATACGAAAATTCAAAAATGGTGGCTACGCACTCAACATTATGTGGAAAAGTGCAAACATGATCATCGTTTCTAATCGATAAATACATGTATAATATAAAATAAAATATAAAACATTTTCATAAATATCAATATATCGACTGCATCCCTACCAATGCCTATTATTAGCTTTTCAGTTGTTCCGGTTGGTGAGTAGGTACTTGGTCTGTCAAATATAACCACATCAAGGACTCTCAACGAAATGCCAGCGCTGCTATTCTGTAATACTGTAGTACTGATTTTGTTAAAGCGATATCAATACCAACTATTTATTGCCTTCCTCCAACTGCAAAAATATACCATTATTTATTAAAAGTTGGCCTTTTATGATATCAATCAATTCTAAATATCACCATTTTATACCTTCTAGTTCATGGTACTACAGAATAGCGGACCGCGCGTTGACATTTCATAGCTTGATGGTCATATTTGACAGGCCAACCTCTGACAATCCAAACCAACTGGAAATGCGTTGATAAAAATCAAATCCAAGCGGATAACCAAAATTTCCGTATTATGTACCGCGGTTATAATATGGTTAGATGACACACGGGATGGTGACGTCAGTTACTCGAATCGCTTGAACGCGTTGGTTTTAACCGCGGTTTGTTGCAAGTTGTTTATTTTAGAAAAGCGCGTATATAATTTCTGATTATTTTTATTATCACTTAATAATCGGTGCTTTTTCGTCTACAACGGGGTATGGAAAGTTGAAAAAAATAAAACTTTCATAATATTAATGGGAGGAATGTTTTTTTTTCGTAAAAAATGTTTACTGATGGAACCATGGCTTTGTAGCTATGATAACTTTGAATTCTCTAAACTTTTCCGCATGTCAAAGAAAATATTTATTGATTTAGCAAAAATGATGAAAAAGCGATGAAAAAAGATGTTAACAAAACCGTATACAGGTGGACATCATCCAGTGAGTTTATACGGCCATATTTTAATATTCTTGTGGTATATGGCTATACAGGATACTTTTTTAAGTGTAGGAACTAGATTTAAAGTGTCCCCAACAACAGTGATGATTATAAATAATGATAAAACTGAAGTCAACCTGTATCAAGTTTCCCAAAAATGAAGCTGAAGTACAATAAAAATATCCAATACTCGGCAAAATTCTAACTTGTCACATGTCAAATAATAAACAGAAATATAAAACTACTCCGGAGTTAGGTAAATACCACAATTTTGCGGTGATAACTATGACATATAACAGCTGATTCATGACGTCACGGATCTTATAACCAAACTGATAACCACACTCGCTTGAACGGATCGGTAAATACCAATCCAAAATGGTAAATACCATTTCCATGTGGTTATCCGCTTGAATTTGATTAAAGTTATCATGATATAGGTTATGTTTATAACTTATTATATATTTTTATTTTGCAAGAAATATAAATGGCGGAGATACCACCCTATTTTTTTTTCTATTACACCCTCGATTACACCATCCCTCCTCCGCACGGGTATCATGTAAAAAACCTATAAAACGTCAAAAAACAACCTGTAAGATGTCAACTTGCAGCCTAGGTAGTTTTTAGGGCGCAAACAGTCATTCCACGTTTGCTCACTAGGATCGTTGTGAACGTCCATCTATGGAGGAATCACTCAACTAAACTACGCATTATTGGTTGCACAGTTTTGTGAGGCTGAGTGATCCGGGTCTGTAGTTTTTATCCCTGAGAAGAAAGTTGGTTGAATAGCAAGATCCCCTTCTCCACTCTTCACAACCACCACTATCAAATTTTTAACTACTGCAAACATTTTTTCTGCAAATGATCAGCCTTTGAAGCTTCAAAAAATGAAGTTTGTGCTATTTTCATAGTTTTGTATTTTTGTCCCTAGCTTCGCTCCCACTGGACCGATTTTCAACATTTTTTGTCCTTGGCACAGTGAACATTTGATCCAAATCCGAGCAGTATTTTCCAAATTGCAGACGTTTCAAATATTGGCGGACAGACAGACGAAAATATGTGACATGGTATTCACAGGTATTTACAGAGGTGGTAAAGAAATGCATCAATGATGCGTTCCTAGTCTTTCAGTCTTCTTCAAGGCGGGCGCTTGGAACCTACGGCGGGGGGTAAAAGGCCTAAAGGAAATTGGGGGCGATAAATTAATTTAGGGGACGACGTAATGGATAATTTCTTCAATTGTCATAAGTACAATTTTTCGTTCTCACAAGTACTAATGCAGACAACACCGATGCCTCGGATTTACTAAATTTAAACATCGACAATGCCAAACAAAAATGTCCACTTTCTTATAAGTCTTACAACTTTTTTATCAATAGTAATCAAACCATTTATACAAAGAAATTACAGTACGTACCCTACAAAGACATCAAAAATTTTGAGAATACCTCTCGAGGATACTTGGGGCTACAAGGGTCCACTGACTGTGAAACATCACTATGACACTAATTGTCAATTACAGGTTATTGTCAACAGTTTTCACCTTGGTTTATTGAAAATTTATTCCTTCATCTCATATCATTTATATAAGAACAGATTGTTGACTACCGCTTGAATTCTCACAATGACTGAGCAATACTCTCGTGCATCGTTACTCAAGCATAAAACTGCTTCAGCAGCAAAGCTATCAAAGAAAGCATCGCACACGAAAAAATCCAAGCAATTCTTAAGAGGTGAATCGGAAGAAATAATCCAGAGAACTCTCTCGGAAAGGTACTCTTATTATCGCTTCTTGGACCTGGGTTTTATGGAATTTGTATTACTAGGAGAGATATTTCAAAAAACTGGTGAAACAGTCATTGTTGCATATGAAGAAGCGACTGAGATACGGATAACTATGAAATTCAAAGATATTAATTTTTTAATAGTTATGTTCATGTTTTGATAGTGTAGTACATCATTTCAAACGCAAAATCCATACTAACATTACAAATGAGAAAGTATGTTTATTCTGGATGTGGATGAAAATTGGTACAGGGACTTGTTATAAGCCCTGTTCGTACAGCTGTCACCAACCTGTCAGTGATCGTGTCCAAGATCCCGCCACACAAATTCCGTTCATTCTGCTACGATATCGTTGCCTCAGAGTTATACTGTTGTATGTGTACGTTAATGTGTGTTTCGAGTTATGGCATAAAGAAAAGTTTCATGTATGTTACACTTTTATCACTGAAACCAATGCTATTGGAACAATTAATTATCAAATTTAACTTTCGTTCTATACGGATTTTCTATGAAATAGTTTGGAAAAGTTGTTAGATTATGTTTTTTGCTGCTGGAAAAATGTTACATACAACTTTGTAACATATTTAGGTAGGCTAAAGCAACATACTAAATATACAAAAATATGTGAAAGTGAGACTTACGGAGCTTTTAATACTCCATTCATCGACTTGGTCGTTTGTAGCGGTTTTATAGAAACTTTTTTACCAATTTAGTGATTGGTGCGATACTTTAAACTCTACCTCAGTAAAAGAATTCGTGAATCTTAGGGCTTTCACTTTTGAAAAAGTTATCATTTTATAATTAAAAGAAGCGGTACATAATGTATAATCTGAAAATTATTCTGAGCGCATCTGTATAATCTTATCAGGCTTAGCAGCATTAACCTTTAGAAAAATTCTCAAGAGTGATACTGGTGAAAAGTATTCGACTGTATCTAAAACCTCAATGCAGCTATGTACGGAATCAATTTCCTGGGCACATGGATGTCCGGGTGTTTCATAATTATAGTTTGGATTGAACGGTTGATTAGTAACAAATATGCTAAAGCATAATATATAAAACTATTTCGATTTTTTGTCACGTAACTATCACTCCAAAAGACAAAACTTTTTAAAGTTTTGTTTTCTGCAAAAACTACATCTAAAATCTTAATCAAAGCAGCTAGGTCCTTTTGACGTCTACCCATTAACGATTCATTCCGCGTAAACTTGATTTGTACTTTACAATATTGCCGTTAAATCGTCAACATTAAGTTTGTAATAGAGATTGCCAATTTCTGCTTGGGGACACTGCAGAGCATTTTGTAGATCAAATACCAAAAATGGACTATTTTGGTATTCTCTGTATTTTTCTGTGTCGTTTCTCGTTTCAGCTTTTTCTTTGACAGGGTTCTCATATTCCATAGCGTTTTCTGCACTTAGAGTATTCTCCATTTTCCTCAATTTTGCCTCTTCACAGACGTCACACCTTTTTTTTGGAACATAGAAGTATAAATTGTACCCTGTAGAACATATATTTCTGTGAAAAGACTCTTTTACAGCATTCTTATGAGCAGCGGTATAACTTTGCACAAAGAACCTGTACATTTGCTTTATACTGAGACTAGAATCTAGGTACTCCCTTTGTGTGTTAGCTCTGCAATAATGCGACTCGATCTTGGGGAAAGATTTCAGTTTCAGTACAACAAAGTTGTACTCGTATGTAGCGTTCATGAAAAATCTGTTTTGTTACTGCTTGTTGTATGTATTACATACCACTTTGTAATTCCAACGTAATACAGATACAATTGTGTATTTCTGGTAATATAAATATAAGGATGTGAGATAGAACTTCGAAACTCTGTATGGTCAAAGTCTAATGCACATACAGCTATACACGGTGTTCCATAATTATTGCGACAAAATGATAGGGATTGTAGAGGGCATAAAAATATGCAATTTTGCCTTATAAACCCCTGTTCGTAAATATGCCGTTTGAGCACTACCGCTAATTTTACCTTAAGAGTTCATAGGAGAAACAAAAAATTCGCCAGCTGCAAAATGTTCGTCTAGCACATTTCATGGTCTCGCCGGTTTGTAAAAAAAGCCTGCTGTGTTTACATTGGTGTTATCGTAAATTCTCCACACCGATTCATTTAATTTATCTGAGTGGTGCGTCAAACTAGGTAGTAAATAACAGTACCTTAGTGTTAAAATGCAGCGTTATTCGTATGCGGAACTTGCGGATATGCATTTAATTTACGGAGAAGCTAGTGGTAACGGAAGACGAGCCTCGCGAATCTACGCCCAACGATTTCCAGAACGTCCTCATCGGCATCACGCCATTTTTGCAAGGATTCATGGACGTCTTCGTGTCAGTGGCAGCATCAGACACCTCGCGGGAGCAGGGCGGCCCTTCACGAGGCGCACAGTAGAATTTGAGGAAGCGATTCTGCATCATGTAGAGGCCAATCCGCGTACAAGCGTGCGTGGTATTGCACATGATATGGGAGCGTCTCAAACTACTGTTTGGCGGGTTCTCCATGACCAGCAACTACACCCATACCACCTTTTAAAAGTCCAAGCCTTGGGTCCAGAAGACTATCTGCCGCGTCGACGTTTTTGTCGTTGGTGGCTGCAGCAGGAGTTGAGGCAACCAAACTTTGGTCGTTACGTTTTGTTCACTGACGAGTCCTGTTTTCCAAAGGACGGTTATTTTAATAGCCGTAACAGTCACATTTGGGATGAAGAAAACCCTCATGCCATAGCCATCCATAGAGACCAACATCAGTTTTCAATTAACATCTGGTGCGGCATTGTGGACGAGCATATCATCGGGCCATATTTGCTTCCACCACGTTTGGATGGGCATGCTTATGGCCGATTCTTACAGCATGTGTTACCGGAACTATTGGAAAATGTACCACTGAACATAAGAGCCAACATGTGGTTTCAACACGATGGCGCTCCAGCCCACTTTTCTTTACAAGTGCGGCAGTATTTGGACGACAAATTTCCAAATAGGTGGATAGGCCGAGGTGTCCCTGTGCCTTGGCCTGCGCGGTCACCCGACCTGACCCCACTGGATTATTTTCTCTGGGGCCATCTGAAAGCTTTAGTGTACGAAACTCCTGTTCCCAACCAACAAGAGCTACTGGGAAGAGTGATGGCCGCGTCCGCACATGTTCAGGACATACCGGGGGTATGCCACAGAGTTCGCGGATCATTGAACAATCGTGCACAGCTGTGTATTGAGCAAGGTGGAGGACACTTTGAGCAATTACTGTAGGTAAGCTGTTTCAAGAAACTGATTTTTTTTTGCTGCAGCCCAAACGGCATATTTCCGAACATTGGTTTATAAGGCAAAATTGTTCATTTTGATGCCCTCTACAACCCCTATCATTTTGTCGCAATAATTATGGAACACCCTGTATAATGCTGTAAACTAAAAATCGAGAAAAATGCGACATAGAACAGTGTAACGATATATAGACGGAATTCACACGGTCGACTCCCAGACACAGTCACCAACAAGTCACCGACCACTGTACGAACAAGCCTATAGTATGGAATGAGGTGTCTGCCGCGGAAACCCTCAGACGCTGGTCCAACCGAAATGAGAGATATATAAATAGGGCATTTACTGCATTCCAACGTTCGTTTTCTTAGCATGCTCGTTGACTTAGATTTGTTTGGTGTTTTGTGTTACGTCAAGTATATACGTATATGGTTTCTGAGCATTTCTAGAAAGTCTAATATGTTTACGTTCGGTATGATTTGATATCTTCGGGACAGATATATTCGTCATTGTCTAACCAGAGCGGTCCATAGGACCTTTGCTCTTAGTATTGTAAGTCAGTAGGTCTGTCAGATCTGGTTGCCAGATACCAGACAAAGTCAGAAGAAAGTAAGGAAGGAGGGAGAACAAAAAGAAAGAAGTGTGTCGATTTGGGGTGTGCATTGGCATTGTTAACTAGTATCCTAAAAGTAATTTAGGGATTGGTCGTTGCAGAAAAATTAGAATTTAGGTTTGACCTAAAGTGGCACGATTTAATTTTGTTAACAGTGCGAGCCGCGACCTTGTATACTTGCGAACATGCTGGAATGTGTAATCTAGTGACTCCCGCAACAAAGGGTTGCTAAACGAGTCCGCTTGACTATAGCGTAACTGCGCTTGTTGTTTGATGGGGTCCCCTAGATAATAGATGACAAAGTCTCTGTGAAGTGTATAATTGGAGATATACCATGGGACGTTAGTGATTGTACGCAAGGTTCTGTTCTGCAAAATCTGCAGATGACGCAAATGCGAGAAAACTCCAAGCCGCACATCTTGTATAGCCGCACTTTGATGTTCAAACTTAATTTTTAGTGTAGGTTTGCCGAAAAGTGATCTGCAATTCAGTGTGCTTCTGCCAGGTCATCCCCTTGTCATGAGTGACACCAGGATACTTAGCAGAACTTTCCCATGGTACGCGAGCTCCGTTCAGTGAAACGAGGCGCTGCTACGTTTTTACTACAATAGAGAGCCGGCGTTTTCGAATGAATAATTTCGATCAGGCACGACTGGGCCGCCAGGGCAGTGCCATCAGCATAGAGATAGATTTCGTAATAAAGGATTGGTCCAAGAACCAAACCTTGTGAGACACTGGCTTTGATGGACCGTGTTGTCGACACAACGTTATTAATTTTGATCTGGCATTTCCTACCATCAAGGAAGGATTTCAATAGTTTTAGGCTGCTGTGAATCAGACTCCCAGAACACGACTGGGCCACCAGGGCAGTGTCATCAGACTTCACACTTGCTGGGGCAAGGGACGTCATGAATAATAAGTGAATACAGGATTGGTCCTAGAACCACACTCTGAGGGAGACGGACCCTAATGGGCAGAGTTGCCGACAGAACGTTATTAATTTTGATCCCAAATTTCCTACCCTCAGGGAAGAAATTCGATAGTTTTAGAAGCCAGAAGGGGAAGCCCTTTTGGATCAATTTCTATAGGGTGAAGCATC